TTGAATGCTTAAAATGTTGACAACCACTGGCTATAGATTTCTCTAGATCAATCGCGACATGAGAGTTTTATCGATCGTTTTAGAACCCAAACATGACAAACATAATAATAAAAAATGTTCATTGCGGTAAACGAAATAATAATTTGATCTAAGTGAGAGTTAGTTTTTTTTTTTTTTTTTGCTTCCCTATTTGTGAAAAAAAAATCCTTACGTGATAGAAAAAATAATATTATTTTCGAAATCTGCGTAGCTGAGTTACGGAAAATCCGTTATTAAAACCAAAACAACTTTTATGAAGTTTAAATTCGCAGGCCTGTTATTTTGTTGCTAAATATGAACCACATCAAACTAGAACAAGCCAGATGCACAATTCTAACCGTTACGTTCATGACGAAAATACTTTATGCTATATACATAAAAGATATACCATTATCACATAATAAAGCATGTCTGTCGTCTGTCTACTCCACGCTGTTGTTAATATGCGTATTCGTGAAAATGAGGTTATTTTATTAATTCTGAATTATATGGCAACAATGCTGTAGATAGGACAATCATTACGAAATGTAACAATGATGACGGTGGTGAGATCCAGATTAAGAGTCTTACAAAATACCTAAAACCAAGTTCTGAATGTAAACAGAGAGTATCTATATACAGTAAAACCTTTATTATCTGGTTTGTTTGTTAAGCACAAAGCTACACAATGGGCTAGCAGTGCTCTGCTCACCACGGATATCGAAACCCGGTTTCTAGCATTGTAAGTCCACAGACATACCGCTGCCCCACTGGGAAATGGGGAGGGTGAAGCACTCCGAACCATAACCCTGCTTTATTCAACTGAATAAAGATTTCACAAAACTTCTCAAACTAATATAGTATTTATTCTACTGATAATTATTTTATAAAACTTCTCAAACCAATATAGTATTTATTCTACTGATAATCATTTTATAAAACTTCTCAAACTAATATAGTATTTATTCTACTGATAATTATTTTATAAAACTTCTCAAACCAATATAGTATTTATTCTACTGATAATCATTTTATAACACTTCTCAAACCAATATAGTATTTATTCTACTGATAATTATTTTATAAAACTTCTCAAACCATGACAGTAATTATTTTACTGATAATTATTTTACAAACTTTTCAAACCATGACACTATATATTTTGCTAATAATTATTTTATAAAACTTCTCAAACCATGACAGTAATTATTTTACTGATAATTATTTTACAAACTTTTCAAACCATGACAGTATATATTTTACTAATAATTATTTTATAAAACTTCTCAAACCATGATAGTATGTATTCGACTGATAATTATTTTATAAACGTTTCATTTTCACTACATTTTCTATTGGTAAATATTTCACAAAAGATTTCAAACTATGACCAAACATTATTCTACTAATAGTTATTTTATATAGTTTTTCAAATCACGAAACTATTATATTTTGCTACATAACAATTTCACAAAACATCAGAAACCATCACAGTACTTTCTTCTGCTGTATAATCCTTTGTAAAAATATAATACACCTAAGTTTCACAGACCAATCATAGCGGAACATCAATAATTACATATTACATTAACAACATTACGTGTAATCCTGTTATATAGTCTATCTAAAGGACATATTACTTTAACATTACTGTAATCAAATTTTACATAAGCAGTCATGGGTACGCATGCATAACTTTACACATGTTACCAGCTAGTCATAGTTCTCTGTTATATAGTCTATCAATAAAGGACATATTACTTTAACATTACGTGTAATCAAATTTTATATAAGCCATCAGTGGTACACATGCATAACTTTACACATGTTACCAGCTAGTCATAGTTCTCTGTTATATAGTCTATCAATAAAGGACATATTACTTTAACATTACGTGTAATCAAATTTTATATAAGCCGTCAGTGGTACACATGCATAATTTTACACATGTTACCAGCTAGTGAGGGTTCTGTGTTATATAGTCCGTCGTATTTTTGTTCACGTGAACACGGGACGATACTCAGTTCATTATATAAACTTCTGATCCATTATATTACCACGAAATCACGATCAACACAGAATACACTATATACATTAGGGAACCATAAATGTTTCATACATGTGACACTTGACAATATTCAGTAGAATGCGTTTATTATTGGCTATTGTGTTTTGTGTTGTTGTTGATGTTTTTACAAGTGACCACTGGACATCACACCCTGTACTTTACTTATCAGTCATGCTTTGGTACATATGGCCATTAATCAACGAACACCACATTGTAAACGCCACTTATCGATCTTGTTTTCACACTTAAAGAATGCATGGACTGAGTGAATTACTGTTGATTAGATTATGTGTTTATCCGCATTGCTGCTATATGTGTTTATACACGTGACTGCTTTGTAACGCACATTACACTCTAAATCTTACAACAAGACTTTCTTTGATACATGAAACTGTTTGATAAATCAAATTACAATAATAATTAAACCAACTGTTAAAATTACGTCACTTTTGTACGGATCGTGTTTATGGTGTCATAATAAATTATATTTTCTTAAACGTTGTAACCTTTGAATCAAATGTAATATATTCCCCAAACCGTTGTAACCTTTGAATTAAATGTAATATATTCCCCAAACCGTTGTAACCTTTGAATCAAATGTAATATATTCCCCAAACCGTTGTAACCTTTGAATCAAATGTAATATATTCCCCAAACCGTTGTAACCTTTGAATCAAATGTAATATATTCCCCAAAGAGTAATTAGACAAATAATTTCACGCATACAAAAATGTAAACCTCACGACCGGTCCAATAAAATTCATAACTTAACATAATTCTAGTCTCTAATTGGAAGGCTGTCCGAGAAAAAAATGATAGGCTAAACTTCGTTTTATTTGTAATTGTTCGCTCGTTTCCTGTTTGTTAGATTTATCTGAAGAAATATTTTCATAAAACGAAGACACGATACAAATGAAAATTAGCTTTTTGATTAGAGCAAAAATGTACATTATAATCTAATAAATTCAAATTAACCTACAATATAAACTAAAGAAATGATTCGTACAACTTTCAGTACCTTTCTATAAACCAAGATACTTTGCAAACTGAAAATTAGTTTAAATGCTTGTATAGAAGCAAGATACTTAAACTATGGACGAATTTCAAGTTAAGTTTGTTTGTTTGAAGTTAAGCACAAAGCCATGCAATGGGCTATCTATGCTCTGCCCACCAAGGATATCGAAACCCGGTTTCTAGCATTGTAAGTCCGCAGACATACCGCTGTCCCACTGGGGATGGGGGTGGGTGAAGTTTCGTTTTTTGTTTGTACGAATTTCGTGCAAAGCTACACGAGGGTTTTCTGCGCTAGCCGTCCCTAATT